ATCTACAGGAAACGTATGTAAAACACATAGGGTTCGAGCCACAGGAGAGGGGCAATCTACAGAAAAACACACGGGGCTCGAACCCCAGGAGGGGGGCAACGTATAGGAACGTATGTGAAACACACCGGACTCGAACCCCAGGAAAAGGGCAATCTACAGGAACAGACGTAAAGCACGTGGGATTCGAACCCCAGTAAAGGGGCAATCGATTGGCACATGCGTAAAGCGCAACAGGATTCGAGCCTCAGGATAAATTCATAATCTACAGGAACACGCGTACAACACGTCATGTTCGAGCCACTCGTCGTCTTCGCCCTCCTCCTCCCCCTCCGATGATGACAATGCCCCCCGTCGGCTCCCTTGGGTGTTCTGTTCTCGGTCCCTCGCTCCCACCCTCCCGGCTTTCCTCCGCTCCTCTCCTCATCCCCTAGGTTTGATTAAGGTTTCCATGCGTGCACATCGTCAACGCGTCCCGCGGGTCGAGTACGGCCGCTCCGCGGAGGACGAGGACGAGGACGAGGGCCATCCACAGGAGCATCTGCAAAACAAAAAAGGGCTCGAACCACAGCAGATTGGCGACCTACGGGAACGCACGTCAACACACACACACACACACACACACACACACACACACACACACGCACGCACGCACGCACGCACTCGGTGCAGGGCCGCCGCCAGGCCTGGGCGACGGCTTCCCCCAGCCCCCCGTGTGGAGCCAGAGCACCGCACAGTCGGACTTGACTGGACAGGACGCGCCAGAGGACACGAGACCCTTCCGGGGGCCATATTGCCACAGGAATGCGAGGAGGCATGGGCCGCGAGGCACAGGACACAAAGGGTGCCCTTGACTTGGGAGGGTCGACCTACTCATCAGGGCCGACTGTAGTGGCTCGCAGTTTTCTGAGCCAGTCGAGCCAGAGAACACTAAAGTGACCGCTGCAAGCGGTGATCCCGGGCAGTCAGCACACCCCAGTGAGTGACACGTCTGGACCAGATCGGGCCAGCATTCCATAAGGAGCGCTCACGGCAGATTCCATGCCGCCGCAATCGAGCCAGAGCACGATAGTTCGGCGGTGGACAAACCTCCCTTGAAAAAGCCTCCATTTTGCGAAAACGCCCTAGGACCGAAACCGACGGACCTGGACCCACAAAAATGACGGCCGCGACGCCCTCTCGCGAACCGAAAACGGCCAATTCGCTAATCGACGTGTCAGGGTAGGTCTATCAACCTCCGAATAGTGAGCCACGTGTCTAGAGGCCTCCTAGGTGGGGTCGGAGTAGATGGGGTCGGAGGATCGCGCCGCATCGCCGATACATCGGCGATGCGTCGACGATGCGTCGGCCATGCATCGGCGATGCACCGGCGATGTATCGGCGCCGTCGGCGTGGAGAAAATCGGGCTCCACATCGAGCCGCATGGCCGATGCATCGCCGAAGCATCGGCGATGCGGCGCGATCCTCCGACCCCATCTACTCCGACCCCATCTAGTAGGCCTAGAGTGTCTGGGCCAACTCGAGCCATGGTGGGCGCTGCCGGCAGAGTCTCCGGGCCGCACCACCGGGCCGGTGCGACGCCTCCCGCCGCCTCCCCGCGGAGGAGATCCTGGTGGGAAGCATCCTTGACCTCCGCTAGAATTGTGGATGCCACGACAATGGACACCCTAACAGTTCTACCATTGAATTAAACATGTGTTAAAAATGTAGGGAACATGTTCGAAACATGTTTTACACATGTGTTTTACATGTTTGAACATGTTTAACACATCTTTTAGACATCTGGGAACTACTTGGCAACATACTTCCTCTCCGTTTACCGCCCTCCACAACGTTAGAACCCTCCAGCGAAACGACATTAGGAAAAAACCCTGAGAGCCCGCCGCCCTCCGACGAGCTTCCGACGAGCTTCCGCCGGCGCAGACGGCCTCGTTTCACTTCGGCTGCCTTCCGCCGAGGGAGAGGTGTCAGCTCCTTCAGCCCTCGAAAGCGAGGCCCTTTAGTGAGGGTCTTTTTTATTCGGCGTTTCGACATTGGGCAGACGGGGGGGGGAGGGGGGGGGTCTGGCTCCGGAGCTCGGCTTGGTGCGACTGTTTTCGACAGGGCGTCCTGTGGGGGATGAACTCCACCTGCCCGAAACGGGCGCCCAAAAACAGCCAAGATCTACTCCAAGGGGGGGCGGAAGGGGGGGCTTGGGGACCCGCGCCGATCGGCAAAACAATGGATAAAAAACGATCACTTTCTTGAATGCCTCATGTGCTTTGGTGTCCCGTTCGCGCCTTCCAGTCATGGCCCCAATTTCTCGGGTCGAGCGGATGCCTTCCGCACTGCGCTGCGCCGCACGTCAGTACACGTTCTGCTCCTCGAGAAGCTGCATGGTGTTTGCTGCATGCTAGAGGTTAGTTCCGCGTGGTGTCGCCGTGTTCGTGCCGTTGTATACCACCTGCACGCTTCTGACGGCACTTCGCCCGATCCTAAAGGTAGTTTGGGAGAAAGCGGCGTTACTCCCAGGTGTGGGGGGGGGAACCACCACCCCACCAATGAGAGGCAGCCTGACCGTCCAAGGATGGCTCTTCTTGGCACCATACGATCACACACGTGCCCCAGATGTGTGTTTTCACAAGTGGCCGTCTACAAGTCACGCGCGAGCACCCGGTCATGTGCGTCCGTTGACCCCCTTTGAAAGCCTACTAGGAGCTCTAACCCAGGACTTTCTCGAGGCACGGCCGAAACATAGGACATGGGGGTACTGATAGAAGTCCTCCCCGTGGATGGATCTCCACCTCAGTCACTGGCACCTCGGCGTTCATAACCACAATAAGCATCAGCATAATCGTCATCCTCGCCGTAGTCGTCGTCGCCATCATCCAACAGCATCATCAGCAGCAGCATCATCATCAACATCAGCATCGTCAGTATCATGGTTGATTGTGATGGTTAACAACATCATCATCATCATCAGCAACATCATGATCAACAGTATCGTCAGTATCACGGTTGATCGTGATGGTCAACATCATCATCATTATCAGCATCATCACCAGCAGCAGCAGGAACAGCGGTAGCAACAGCAGCAGGAGCCGTAGCATCGTAATCACCATCGTCATCGTCATCATCATCATCACATCATCGTCATCATCATCATCAGCATCATCAGCATCATCAACATCAGCATCACCATCGCCATCAACATCGTCATCATCACCCGCATCATCATCAACAACCAATCATCATCCCTCCTCCTTACTCCTACTTTCTGCGCCGTCCTCCCTCATCCTGCCGCTAGCCCACCTCATCCTCATTATCATGTGCCTCATCATCCTTCTCATCCTCACCCTTCATCCTCATCCTCATCCTTCCCCATCATCCTCGTCCTTCCTGCTCGTCCTCACCCTTCCTCCTCAACCTAGTCCTTCGCCCTCCCTCTTCACTTCTCCTCCCGCTGCGCTTCCAAATTCCTGCTCGTATTCCGTCCCCCCCCCCTCCACCCCTCCTCCTCCTCCTCCTCTGTCTCCTCTTCCCTCGATCCCATGCTCTTTCCCTCCACCTTGTTGCCTTCTGCGCCTCTTGCTCCCGAGGGCAGAAACACAGCCCATCACCGCCCACATACGCCGATGTCCAGTGACAGCCGCAGGGGAAGAGGATTCCTCCTCTTGTTCCTCCCCCTTCTTCTCCTCCTCATCATCCTGCTCATCTTCCTCCTCCTCCGCCCTCTACTCCTCCGCCTCTTCCTCGTCATGATCAGCGTCATCAGCAGCAGCATCATCACCAGCATCAGAATCACCATCATCAGCATCATCATCATCCTCGTCATCAACATTGTCGTCATACACATCACCATCATGATCAGCATAACCATCACCAACAACATTCCCAACATCACCATCATCATCAGCAGCATCTGCATCAGCATTGTCGTCATAATCAGCAGCATCAGCAGCACCAGCAGTACCATGCTCATAAGCATCATCAGCATCACCACCAGCATCATCTTCATCGCATCAGTATCACCATCACATTCAGCATCAGCATCATCGTCAACATCATCGTCGGCAGCAGCATCACCATCACGGCCATCAGCATCAGCATCATCATCACCATGGCCATCATTATCGTCATCAGCATCCTTATCATCACCCTCATCAGCATCTGCAGCATCATCAGCAGCATCATCATCCTCAGCATCAGCATCAGCATCAGCATCAGCATCAGCATCATTAGCACCAGCATATTCATCAGCATCATAAAAAGCATGAGCATCATCATCCTAATCATCCGCATCATCATCATCATCATCATCATCATCATCATCATCAGCAGCATCAGCATCAGCATCAGCATCAGCATCAGCAGCATCATCATACTCCGCATCGTACAGTCGGGGCGTTTACCTAAGGAACCCTAAATAAGAAACGAGGTCACTCTTTCCATAAGTTACACTTCGATGTCCCATCGAAGACCTGAGGAACACCAAGCCCCTCCCCAACGAAAAGGGTTTCTTCTTCAGCGCCCAGACTGTAATCATCATCATCATCATCATCATCATCACCATCATCATCAGCATCAGGATCATCAGGATCATCATGAGCATCAGCAACATCAGCACCATCATCATCATCACGGTCATCAGCATCACCATCCTCATCAGCAGCACCATCATATTCGTGTCAGCATCATCCTTACCATCATCGTCGACATAATCCTCAGAAACCTCATCATCATCATCATCATCATCATCATCATCATCATCATCATCATCATCATCATCGTCATAATCATCATCATCATCATCATCATCATCATCATCATCATCATCATCATCATCATCATCATCATCATCATCATACTCATCATCAGTATGATCAGCATCGTCATCATCATCATCATCAGCAGCAGCATCAACAGCAGCATCATCATGAGCATCATCATCACCATCATCATCAACAACGCACGGCCTATCGCGTCCCATCGCGCGGCCCATCGCATCCCAGGATTACCTTCTCCCTCGCCCGGCCCATCGCGTCCCGAGGCCACGGAGCCCGGCACGCACGCGCGCGGCGTCACCGCGGCGGGCCCTCGGTCCACGCGTTGAGGGAGATCCGGTTGCTCCTGCGGTCGCGCCCCCCGCGGCGGCCTGGGGCCGCAGTCGGCTCGAGGGGCCCAGCGGATGCTCGGCCCGGGCGGCGGTGGAGCAGGAGGAGGGGGAGGAGGAGGAGGAGGAGGAGGAGGAGGAGGAGGAGGAGGAGGAGGAGGAGGAGGAGGAGAGGAGGAGAAGAGGAGGAGGAAGAGGAGGAGGAGGACGGTGAGGACAAGGGAAAGGAGGAGGATGAGGGGCATCAGAAGGGGCAGCAGCAAGAGGAGGGCTCAGGAAGCAGGGAGGAGGGGAGGAGGAGGAGGAGGACGAGGAGGAGGAGGAGAAGGAGCTGGAGGAGGAAGAGGAGGAGGAGGAGGAGGAGGAGGAGGAGGAGGAGGAGGAGGAGGGGAAGACGTTAGTGGTTTCTGCTCCCCCTTTCCACCTCCCGCTTCCTCTCTGTCTGCTGTCGCCTTCGACTGTCTACCCTTATACGTATATATAGAGAGAGAGAGATACATATATTTACCCTGGCCGCTGCGATTAAAGTCGCCAGGCTACCATTGTAGTCACCCCGCCAGGGCCGACCGTTCTTGGGGAGGAGGGCTACCTCTGGAGAGTCTTCGAGTCATCGGGAACTAAGAGCCAGGCGGGGGAAGGATCCTGAGGTAAGGTGCAAGCGGACTTGCAACTAAGGGACTGCGCGAAAGGAGACAACTCCTCCTCCTCCTCCTCATCCTCGTCCTCCTCCTCCGCCTCCTCCTCATGTTCGGATCTGGAGGCATACAGTCGACACCGATGGGAAGGATGATCGACTTCCCAAGGGTACCCTTGCATTCTTGCCTCTTCGGTCATCGTCGGTCTATCCTTGACTGCCTTCGATGGCCAACACCGCTCGAAAAGCTTCGACACGGGCGTCCGAAGGGCTTGCATCCTTACCGCGCATCCTTACTATCATTCTTGACTGCAGCGCAGTGACCATGAGGAGGAGCAGCCGCAGAGTAAGCACTCAGGAAGACGGAGGGGGGGCAAGCAAGCTGAGCAAGAGCAGGGAACAAGAAGACAAGCGGCAAGGCAGGAGGAGGACTCTGGAGGCGCGGTGAACGAGCATGGGATATGGAGTAGGATCGGAGAAGGAAGAGAGGGGTGAGAAACAAGCTATGCGCGTGCGCCCCATACCGTATGCCCATACCCAAACCCCGGACGTCGTCGACCCCCAAAGGTCTGGACCCCTTCCCAAGGAACCGGTTGTTCATCCTGAATCGTTGTTAGACGGTCCCAGGGCCCGGTGAAGGCCCCCGGAAGCCGACAATGACGAGAAACCTCCCGTCGTGATTTTTGTCACAACGCGAGAGGGTCTAGGTATCTGACATCCTACCCTTCCCACCCATCCCTTCCCAGATCGCAGACTTTCTCTATCTCCACCAGCGGGTGCCCTGGCGGACCTGGATCCTCAACGTGGCCCCACCGTGTGGTGGGCAAGCAGACAGGGGGCCTCGTGCATTGGAGGAGGAGGAGGTGGGGGAGGAGAAGGAGGAGGAGGAGGAGGAGGAGGAGGAGGAGACGGAGGGGGAGGAGGGGAGAGGAGGAGGAGGAGGAGGAGGAGGAGGAGGAGGAGGAGGAGGAGGAGGAGGAAGGAGGAGGAGGAGGAGGAGGGAGGGGGAGGAGGAGGAGAAGGAGGAGGAGGAGGAGGACGAGGAGGACGAGAGGAGAGGAGGAGAAGCAGGAGCAGGAGCAGGAGGAGGAGGAGGAGGAGGAGGACGAGGAGGAGGAGGAGGAGGAGGAGGAGGAGGACGAGGGGCATGACGAGGAGGAGGAGGAGGACGAGGAGGAGGAGGAGCAGGAGCAGAGAGCAGAGGAGGAGAGGAGGAGGGAGGAGGAGGAGGAGGAGGAGGAGGAGGAGGAGGAGGAGGAGGAGGAGGAGGAGGAGAGGAGGAGGGGGGGAGGGGGAGGAGGGGGAGGAGGAGGAGGAGGAGGAGGAGGTAGGAGGAGGAGGAGGAGGAGGAGGAGGAGGAGGACAGGAGGAGGAGGAGGAGGAGGGAGGAGCAGGGGAGGAGGAGGAGCAGGAGGAGGAGGAGAAGGAGGAGGAGGAGAGGGGGAGGAGGGGGAGGAGGAGGAGGAGGAGGAGGGAGGAGGAGGAGGAGGAGGAGGAGGAGGAGGAGGAGGAGGAGGTGGGGGAGGAGGAGGTGGCGGCTTAGCATGAGAATGAGCAAAGGGAACCAAAAGATGAGGAAGGAGCGACCGTACCGAATGGGGTCGGACCTGCGGCACGGCAGCGCGATCAGCAGCCGATGTCGGCCCTCGCTGCTGCCAGGATCTTGTGCTGTAATGCGGGAGCCTTGGGTGCGCTCCCTCGCGCACCATGATACTCTGACTTGAGGTCGTGATTTGTATATGCATGTATAGCTATGTGTAAACATAGACACACAAGACTGTTTTGGCGCTTCGCGCCGTGCGCCTTGGTCCTTCACGTCTTACAAGCAAGCAGAACGAGAGAGAGAGAGAGGCACATCAACCAAAACAGGCTCGCTGTTGGTGGCAGTTTTCGCCGTCACCGTTATTAGATTATTGTTCCTTCTCCTTTCCTCATGTGTCTTCTTTCTCTTCCTCTTCCCCATTCTCGCCTTCATTGCCCTGCGAGCTCGTTCCCATCCTCTTCAGATTTGTTTGCGGAGGCTCCTCCGAGGTGAGCTTCTAGAGGACCTCGCATAAGCTTTGTAAGTGCTCATTGGGCGCCTCTGGAAACGTCCCTGGCGCCTTTAGGAAGCCTCTGGGGGCTCCCTCGGGCCACCTTGCCTCGAATCGTGGTCTCGTGTCACAGCTTGAATGCTTCTGAAGGGAGTCTTTATTGGGGCAATTTCGGCCCGTCTGGGGGCCCTCTGTGGGCAGTTTTTCCCCAACCATCCTGTGGTGTTGGGTCCTCGTTTTGAAGAGACGTCGCCCCGCGTTCTCCTCCTCTCCTCCTCCTGCTCCCCCTCCTCCCTCCCTCCTCCCACCATCATCGTCATCATCATCATCGCCGTCGTCATCATCACCGTCATCACCATCATGGTCGTCATCATCACCATCATCGTCATCATCACCATCATCGTCGTCATCACCATCATCGTTGTCCTCGTCGCCATCATCGCACGTTTCGTGGCCCCATACGGAGTTCCACCGAAGGTCCCAGTGGGTGTGCCCGCATGCGTCCCGCACACCCATTTTGGCACACCCCTCACACGTTTCGTGGCCCCATAGGGAGCTCCACCTAAGGTCCAAGTGGCGCAGCTCGCATGGCGCCACCGCCCCATTTTGGCACACCCCTCACACGTTTCGTGGCCCCATAGGGAACTCCACCTAAGGTCCAAGTGGCGCAGCTCGCATGGCGCCACCGCCCCATTTTGGCACACCCCTCACACGCTTCGTGGCCCCATAGGGAGCTCCATCTACGGTCCAAGTGGCGCAGCTCGCATGGCGCCACCGCCCCATTTTGGCACACCCCTCACACGTTTCGTGGCCCCATAGGGAGTTCCATCTACGGTCCAAGTGGCGCAGCTCGCATGGCGCCACCGCCCCATTTTGGCACACCCCTCACACGTTTCGTGGCCCCATAGGGAGCTCCATCTACGGTCCAAGTGGCGCAGCTCGCATGGCGCCACCGCCCCATTTTGGCACACCCCTCACAGATTTCGTGGCCCCTCAGGGAGCTCCTTTTGGCACACCCCTCACACGTTTCGTGGCCCCATAGGGAGCTCCACCTAAGGTCCACGTGGCGCAGCTCGCATGGCGCCACCGCCCCTTTTTGGCACACCCCTCACACGTTTCGTGGCCCCATAGGGAGCTCCATTTACGGTCCAAGTGGCGCAGCTCGCATGGCGCCACCGCCCCATTTTGGCACACCCCTCACACGTTTCGTGGCCCCTCAGGGAGCTCCATCTACGGTCCAAGTGGCGCAGCTCGCATGGCGCCACCGCCCCATTTTGGCACACCCCTCACACGTTTCGTGGCCCCTCAGGGAGCTGCATCTAAGGTCCCAGTGGTGCAGCTCGCATGGCACCCCTTCACACGTTTCGTGGCCCTGGACTGCGGCCGCCACGAGGTCGGGAACGGCAAGAAGGAGGACGACGACTGGTGGCTGGAGCTCTATGTGCTGCTCTCGCGCGCCACGCGCCACGAGGACCTCCTGCTCATGCGGGCGCCGCGCATCGAGTTCTTCCTGGCAGGACCGCCGGAGGGCCTGCGAAAGCAGCTGGAGCAGTTTGCAGCGCGCACGAAGCGGTGCAGGAGGGAGGCGACGGCCCTCGCCAGGGAGCTCGGCTTCACCGAGTTCATCCGCGAGGCCTGACCTGAGGAGCGTCTCCCCCGAGCCGCGCCTTCTCTCGACTGCCCGACTAATTGTTTGGCCTCGCGCCGCGGACGACCCGCGCGCGTCGCTGGGACCCTCTCGGGGCGACCAGCGCGCGTCGCGGGAACTCCGTGCTGCGGGGGGCCCGGCGCCTCGTTCGCCCGTCGTCGCTCTGCCCAGCGGTCAGAGACTTGCCCGCTATCAGCCAGCCAGTTAGCTAGTCAGCTCTCTCTGCTTCGCGCAGCGGACGACCCGCGCGCGTCGCTGGGACCCCGCCCGGGGCGACCAGCGCGCGTCGCGGGGGCTCCGCGCTGCGCTGCGCCCGCAGCCTTGGATTTTGGAGTGCGCGGGCAAAGAGGAAGGAAAAGAAGAGCCGAAAGCGGGCGCGATCCTCGCAAGAGGCGTGCCGACATGGGCGTCGCGACGTGCGGACGCTGCCGTCGGGGTTCCCGCGGAAGCTGCCTGCGGCGGCCACGCCCAGTGTCACGTGTGTTCGGACAGGCATGCTCGAACCGTTCACATTCATATACACTTGCACTAGGCGTTTCCATGATCGCATTCATGCAAAAACATTCACTCGCGCGCAGACCCATTTATACTCAGATTCCCTCGCGCTCTGACTCACCCGCGTTCTTTCTCTCGTAATCAGATCTATCGTATTCCTTTGCGTTGTGTACCCCGACACATTTCGGCACACCCCTCATGCGGTTC